AGAAGGTAAAAAATAAAAATGAAGACGATCGGAAAAAGAAATAGATATAGAATTGAATTGGAATAAGATATATACTATACCACTACAATGTACTATAGATGTGACATTAAGAAATTTTCAGTATAAGTTTATCCATAGACTTACTGCAACAAACACTATGCTTTTCAAATATAATCTATGCAATACAAATTTGTGTGATTTTTGCTGCAGTTTTAATATTGTGCAAAATTTATGGTCAAACTTGCACTCTTTTCTCTTGTCCGTTAATCTTCATTTTTCATACAGTAATGAAACAGTGTTTTTTGGAGAGCTTACAAACCAACAAAAATAGTAATGTAGTAAATTATATCATTATTCTAATGAAATATTACATTTTAAAAATGAAATATCAAAGAAGTAAGCCCACTTTTGATATTTTTAAAAACTTTTTGCTGTTAAGGATACAGATTGAAGAAGCAATTGCATTGTCAAATGATAAAATTGAATCGTACAAACAAAAATGGAGTAAACTATCTAACACTTTAACAAACAATACTGATGACCAAAACAATAATATTATGTAAATTAAACCATAAAACGTAAAAAATTAAATGAAACTGATTCACTTGTCTCCTTTCCCCCCTTTCTTTTGTGTGTGTGTGTGGGTGTGTGGTGCGTGCGTGCGTGTGTATGTGTGATTTTGTTTAGTGTAAGAATGTTAGTTTTTTAAGTAGATTTATTCTCTTTCTTTCTTTATTTTTTGAAAGTTTGTTTTTTACTTTTTTTCTTTGTGGAGTTTCTGTCGTATCAACCTTATGAATGTTTGGTTAATGAATGTGTTTTTAAATGAGATGGATATGTTTTATATTTAGTTACAAATGTTGTATGTAAATGTGAATGATTGTATTTATATGTTTTTGAAATATGAAAATGAAAAAAAAAAGAAGAAAAAAGATGAACAGTAAATTCCCATGTTTATAAACATATAAATAGCATTTGAATTAAAGAAGAAATATTTGAACATTTACTCATTTTCGTTCTTAACAAGCATCATTTTTCATCCATGTTAAAATGGAAAAATCCTTTCTTAATGATTAAGAATTATTTTGATTTTTTTTATATTTTGAATTGTATGCAGATTCTTATTTAAAACCATACAGTGGCGGGTATTCCACTTCTCCTGTCAACTGTAACTCAAGATGCAATTCATTTATAATTTTAGCAATTAGAGGACAGCTTATCTTATTCTTGAAATATAAAGTAATGTTTAAATTATAACATCAAATATGGTATAAACATGGTATATGATAACAAAATATATAACACAATCCCTGATGGATCGAGCTACCTTGATAATTATCAAAATGTAGGTAAAGTAAGAATCATAATGTCTATAATATCATACACAGACAGACAAACAGGAGATAAACATCAATTAGGCAAATATACATTCATACAAAATTCATACAAAAAACAGCATTATTATTATCTTTGTTAGTGTGCTGCACGTTTATGTTCCTAAATGATTTTAAGACACAACCTATAATGATTATAAGATAAAAAATATGTACTCAAGAGAATACATGTCTATGTCAGTTAATACATTGATGCTTTAGCATCACTAGAGAAACACTGAAAATCAAAATTAAGATAAATGCTAGATTAACGCTGAAGGCGATAGACGCTCCCCGAATCTGCTCATCTGTAAGAGAAAAAGTGTAAATATCTGTTTAGCACCAATGACCCTAACCCAAGTTTCTTCAAAACTTTTAAAGTTTGCTCCGGACAAGTGTGTGACGGACGGAAGGACAGACAAAATAGCGACAACATGCTCTCTATTCGTGGAGCATAACAAAGCAAAAACATAACAAAACAATTTTCCATAAACATTCTTTTCTTTACATATAAAATCAGCAAATTATCAAAAGTAAGGACTTATGAGATGATTATATGAGTAACACACATAAGTATGATAATATATGTCTATAACAACTATAAATGTTCTAACATTCTGATAAAAACAATGATAATCAAATCAAAGCGTATGTAATCAAAAAATATATAAAATTCGTAGTGCTATATACAATATATTTCATTACATTAAGGCTGACATTTGTCTGATACAGTTACTGTATATTAAATTTGAACTGATTTCAAACTGAAAATACTCCCTAAATTTGCTTTAGTTAATGTTCCGTTATCGGAAATCTTTGATTTGACGAATCTTTTCTTCTTTCTATTTAGATATGAGTTTCACAGACGGGTATTTTGACAAAAACAAAACCAAGAAAATAATATTTTTGTGTGTAAGCGTCATTACCAAATACTGGTGACATTGCGATTTAGACTATCGAAAAGAAATAAAAAAGAAACTTAGCAGACAAAAATTAAAATGTTTTTATACACATGCTTATAAATCCAGTGAAATTCATAACCTGTTTCTTTGCCCCTTTTAAACATGCAACATATATGAAAACAGTTTCGGGCATTTATTTTTTATATTGAAATTTTGAAATGAATGAACATGTATACTAATTTTAAAAAAGAACTCTTCTGATCAATGTGAAATATATAAATATTGCCTTTTTACTGAAAGTAGCATTTAAATGAAAAATTAAACTGTACAAGTTGATGTATGAAGAAACTTAGTATTTCTGCATAACAGCAGATTAATACTGTCTAATTTGGAGATAAATTTAATGTTCATAAGTCGCCATATTAACCATCAATAGCCCTTATCGGTTAGTTTTGTCGACTGTCATATAAAAGTGAAAACATATTTTTTTTGTGTTTGCACGTTTATCTTGCAGTTATTATGTCAGTTTGGTTTTTAGTCGACAGCGTTAGCCAATAAGTGTTACAAATCAAGTATAGTTAGTTTTAACGTCTTACACAAATTATGTTTCTGATATGGATAAATATGTATATGTACAAATGTATAACATGTATAATCAACGGAAGTTGACATGTAAGGTAAAGGAAATCTAGTCATATACAATAAGTAACAGTAGGTTGAAGTCAAATACATAACAGTTAAATGACTGTCTGTCACTTTAAGGATTTAAATCTTGATAACGTACCAATCAGCAATGTTGATATTAACGTAGTAAGTACACTATAAAACATACAAAAACAGTAATAGTAAACGTAAACGATATGCAAATATTTGAAAGTAAAGTGTATAAATATAAAGGCCCTAAAGCACGTCGAAATTATATATGTTGAAGACTCGATTTGATTGTGCATATTTCGTTATGATACACGCTACCGTGCAAGCCTTTTAGCAATGTCTATTACAGCAGAATTCAACTTATGAAAACTGATGCATTTAAGTTTGATTAAGTAATATTTGTTGATAAGAGTGTGATGAATATGTGAACTTATATGACAATATGACACTTTCATATCTAGTAATGAAAATAACCTTTTATCCCGTAATTCATGAATTTAAGCGGAACTGAAAAAAAACTGTTAAAGGTGTTTACAGGTAAGAATATTAGCGTATAACAAGCAACATTCGAAAAATAGAAAACCAGTTAACATATCCTTGGAACAAGTTTATAATATTCAGGAATCAATATTGGTTTACCTGCAACAAAAATGTAAAAATGAAAGAACTACAAAAACCTACACACTGAAAACAAGGGCAACATTGTCGCAATAAACGCCAATCACAGAAACTTTTGAAAGAGATGTAGGCATTAAAGATATGCATATAGGAGATACGCTCTGGGCAATTCGCTCTGGGCAATACGTTGATATATTCTGGATATATTCTGGATATATTATTATCTCTTGTGATTTTTTTATCTGAACTTTGACACCTATGTGTGACCTTGACCTTAGCCGCAGGGACCTAAATGTTTCGCTCGACACTCCGCCTCACAATAGTGAACATTTGTGCCAAGATATATTGAAATCTCTATATGCATGTAGAAGTTTTGCTCCGGGCAAGTGTTTTCAATGACATCTAAGTGTGACATTGACCTTTAACCTAGAGGCCTGTTTCATGCGCGCGAAACGGCTTCTTATAGTGGTGAACATTTGTATATGTGTAGGAGATATGCTCTGAACAAATCTCTATATTTTATCATCTTTAGTGGCCTTGGCAATCATCTTTAGTTACATTTGACCTTGCACATATTAACCTAAATTACATGTTGCACACCCGTAGTCATGAAAATGACCATTTGTGTTTCAATCCCTCAATAACTGATGACTTTATGGTTCCGATACACATTTTCATATTTTATCTGAACTTTGATCCCTTTGTGTGACCTTGACCTTGGTCGCAGGGACCTAAATTTAGCACGCGACACTCCGCCTTACAATAGCAAACATTTGTGCCAAGTTATATTGAAATCCCTTTATGCATGTAGAAGTTTGCTCCGGACAAACGTTTTTCAATGACCTCTAAGTGTGACCTTGACCTTTAACATAGAGGCCTGGTCCATGAGCACGAGACGGCTTCTCACAGTGGTAAACATTTCTATGAAGTTTCATTAAAATTCCTCCGTGGGTGTAGGAGATATGCTCCGGACAAAATTTGGATCTAGTTCGCCCAGCGCCCGCCAGGGGGAAACTATACAATGACCTGTTTTTCAAATGAGCGTATACAAAATCGTGTTAGACGATAGCCGTAAATTGAAATAAAATTTCTCAAATTAAATGTACCGGAGAAATTGCATCGGCCTGCAAATGATAACAAGTTGAACAAACAACGCCAATCCAAAAGGTCAATGTCATTCTACAGCTAGTAACCAGAAACCTTAAGTAGTACACAAATAACCTTTCAGGTAAACTAATTTTTTTAAAAAATAAGAAGGAATTCTAACGTTAAACAAAAGTACTACTCTTACGGCATAAACTGGTCAGAAATAGTGGATTAATAACTATCTTATATCAATTAAGAACGGCATTTCTAATGTAAGTCGCTAGTCGGTTAATGTTTTCTTGACACATTACTTATAACATATAAAATATTATTTTGATTTTCACGCTTATCACATTTCCTTATTTGTTTAAGATTCATCCATTTCATCTGTTTCTCTGAACTTTTTCAACTCTAGTGTTTTACCAAGCCTATGGCTCAAAATCTTCAGAATATTATCAATAGGTGTGACAATTGCTGTGAGATCACTACATATGACACCAATAAGCATTCCAATACAATGTAAATGATTATCATCATCAACCAAAAACACAGCAGAGCCAGAGTCTCCAGCTTGGCAAAATACCTTTTTGTAATAAGAATCCACCATTAACTGACTGGTTATTTGAAGTGTTTCCTTAGTCCCATTGTATAATGTTTCTATTGTGGAATACTCCAATGTTTCCCTGACACACCCATCTGTTGTTGACAGAGTTCCTTTCGTAAGAGAAGTTGTAGAGCCGATCTTGATGATTCTTCGCGTGGCTTGATCTTTGACTGTTAAAGTTTTTGCATCCATAAACTCAGCGTCATTGTATGTTGGTTCCTCCGTTAATCCTAAGGTTAGTAAAAAATCATAGTTGAAAATAGTTGGGTAAACAACAATAACAATTTTTAACATTTCAAGAATATTTGAACACAACTTAATAAAACATTGATTTCATTCTATTTTTGTGCCATTATTTTAACGGTATCTTTTTTCGTACATCTTATTTCTCGTACAGTAATGCAAGAGGATGTTCCTTTTTGGCGTAAAGAAACTAAATCATGGTGTTCATTAAATAATTTGTGAAATTTACTCAGAATTACCTGCAAAATTTAAATCTTCGTTGGTCAATTGTATAAACTGACCACTTGTAGGTAATCTTTCAGGAGATATCTTAACTATACTAGCATCGATCTGCTCCCCTTTCTGACTTGCTATAACCTCTCCACATTGTCGATTAGGCAGGACAACTGCACCGGGTGTTAAATGAACGTCAGCCGGTTGAACGACTTTTACTCCGGTAAGACTGTTATCTGTACGTGAAGTAGGAGCAAATACATGTCGAACTGTCAGAAAACAGGTTTCGTTTGTTTCTCTTATATTTACGAATGGCCCTAAAGTCGCAGCAAGATTTCCATCAGTTTCTCCAATGCTACAACCTAACGCTAATGTCTTGTTGAAGTCAGTACTGCGGCCAATATGACCAGGGCATGTTGAGAAATAACCTTCCCGAACATCAGTTCTAAACGTTTTGCACTTAAACGGATGATTAAGGCTCTGAGGGAAAGAAGGATCGCCATATGGTTTATGCCCTTTAACCCTACAATATAAGACTATGCATAATTTAGAATGTGCTAGTTTAACTTCCTTAGGCTGGACAAAACTAACTTTTACAGCTTCCAAATTTCTATGAGATGTCATAAGAGCTTCTGCATGGAATGAAAGCGTTTCATTTATATCAACAAATTCTTCTTCTGTTGCTTTTACAAAGGCATTGTCCTCTCTGTCACATGAATTTTCTGCTAACAGCGATTCTTTACTGATGTAGTTGCAATCTCTTTTTAAAAGAGGGAATCCTTTAAAGAAATCTATCCGAACTTCATCGTTTACGAAGCAAATCAGTTTAATCGCACCATCTTTCATTTCTGAAGGATAACATTCTGATACAGAGCTGTTTGTTTTCACAAGTTCATAGCATATCAAATCTAACATTATTTGTTGCACAAATGAATTTCTTTCCTCAGCTCTAACATCTTCTTTGTCAAACGAAATATTCCCTAGATGCGGACCTAAAATGCAAGCTCCAAAACGGCAATAGTCCTCCTTTGACTCTATAGAATGCCGTACCTTTTCAATACTTTTTTCTTGAAGTTCAACAGTAATACATTTCCTCCCAAATTTCATGTTACACAAGTGTAACGATTTAATATGAGTTGCTTTAGAAATGCCAAAAGCAAATGACTCATATACATCTCTGTTAAAGATGTGATCTGTTAATTCAAAATTTACGACGACAGTTGTCAACGTTGAAGTAAGAGTGTTTCCCTGAAAAGTCTTTTCAGCAATTCCAAGCTGTAATATATCTAAATGATATGCAAAGTGCATTATCCGAATGTTGTGACAGCATCTGGTGATTTCTATGCTCTTTATATCTTTTGGAACGCATATCGTTGCATTGTCATTTAGAGGGTGAATATTCTCAAAACAAATTTTTGTTATTGTGTCTTTCTGCCATAAAATACAATTCCTCTTTGATACTATTTGATCGATGCTTTTGCTTAACTTCTGTCCATCTATCCATACCTTCTGGCGTATACTAAATACACGCAATGCTTCAATTTTATCAGCAATGAAAAAACACTCCACATGTAATTTTAAATCAAGTACAATCTGCTTTTCGATCTTTGTGATAATGATAAAATTGCATGATATAAACTCGCAAGAACAGGCCAAATTATAGATTTTTTTCAATTTGAAAATATCTGTGTGGATACATTCAAAGATAATGAGTTTTCTTTGAGAGTAATAAGACTTTTTCATTTTGAATCTTTCCTTCATCATTATATTCAAATCAGTAACATCATCAGAATCTTCTACCTTTAACAAGAAAACTCCATCTAGAGTTTCCAAATCGGTGTCGTAAGTTTTTCTTTCGACAATATTTAACCAAAAGCTAACTATGAAATGTGCTGATGCTGTTGTGTCCTTTGTCAAGATAAGAATTGGCTTCAAAGACTCGGGTAGGTAGTTGGGCGTCTGCATGATTTCAGTAAGTGCCACATATTGATTCATGACTGTGACTTCTTTGCGTTGGATATCTAACTTTCCAAACCTCGGTCCGACTTGTAAAATTAAATTTTCGAATCTCTCTAAATGGTGGCAGAAATTGTAAAACCTTTCTGACCTTGAATAAAACCATTTTAAATAATCTTCCAGACCTGGAAATATATACATAAAACATGAAAAGAGCTTACTTTACATAGATAATTAGAGCGTTACTGGAATTATCGTATAGAACAAATATTTTAGTTCAGAATATGCATGTATGATTACACAGTCATAGCTTAAATTTTTTAGGAGTCATGAAATCTAGAACCTTATCATATCTTGTGGAGGTATATATGTATAAAAGTTTAAGATGCTCATCATAATATGGTGATATGTTGTTAACAAATTGTAGTTTATTTTCAAAGTCAGACAGTCACAAAAATACAGTTAATTTATAATCATTACCTGCACATAGACAGTGTAACTAACAAAGTCAACGCGTCTGTTTTGTTGTTGATTTTCTTTAATTAAGGAATAATAACAAAATTAGCAAATACTTATTTCATCGTAAATTTCGGCAAATATATATGGGAAAAGGTATGCCCTTTCCCTTCAATCCATAAATCTTGCCTGATAAAAAAAGAAAAAAATAATAACATCAAGAAAACTGTCATTCTGTTCAGTATTCATTACTGTTCTGGACATGCACATATTCAGTGGGCAAAACGTCATGTTTTACTTTTTCAGTTACCATTAAACACTTTGAAGGAGTAAATATGATACATATTTTTATTTCATTATCTCGTATTTACAAAGTTCACTTTCTTGATTTTCATAGTACTTATTTTATCATGGGTTATAGATTTTTAAACAGGCAAAGTTTCTGGACGGAAGACAACCCTAAAATCTCCTCTGTTATAACGTCGAAAGGCAACTAACACAAAGCCCTGCCAAATAATACGGTTCAACAATTTTGCTTAAGCCAAATGATATTCAAACGATTATGAAAACATATGTTCAGAAATAAATTGAAAATCGTATTTGATTTGGGTTAATTTTCACAATAAGAATAAGCATTCTGGGAAAACGGAGTTAGCGGATGAACAGAAATTTTGCACACAAGCTAATAGTCTAGACCTAAATCAAATGAAACATTATTTTCAGAAAATTATTCCGAGTCAGGTCATGTCAAAAAACCTCTTAAGAGATTCTTAAATTGGGGAATGCGGATCACTATGTTTAATTTAAACAAGTTCAGTTTTTCTTTAGCTCTGGAGTTTGTATGCATGCCTACCGTGCCAGGGTGTTTGTGCTTCTGTTGTGTCATCTTTGTTTCACTATATACTGTTATATTACCATGGTTGTACATTGTGCAAAAATAAATTGTTATCTTAATTTATATCTCAAAAAGATGGCGGATAAATATTCATAAAAGAAGCAGAATTACAGACAAACATAAATAATTCTTCGTTCAGTGCCCACTGGTACAGGACACGTAAGTACACGAAGGGGTTTTTTAAGCACAGCAAGTGTAGCACGTAAAACATGGCGGTTTTTGGAAGTTTGTTTTTATTTTGATTTTACACACTTTTAACCAATACATTTATTTGAATCAACAGTGCCAATCATTCAATTGTAAGACAGGAAGTATGCCCATTATTACTGGTATACAAGAAGAGACATCAGAAGAAATTATTTTGACTTCATTTATCTCGTACCTTTCGCCCCCAGACGTTATTTTATCATCGAGTCATTTCGTAACCGATGAAAGACGCTTAAAAGTACTAGATAAATATTTTCTACGGCCAAATACAAGAACTATAATTATGTGCTTTTTAATTAGAAGTGGAAATATACATCAAAATCCAGGGCCACCAGTATTCAGTTACAAATTCAATGCCAGTCAAGAAATCAAGAAATCTTAAATTTCCATGTTCTGTATGCAGCAAAGGTGTTATTGCTACAAGCATATCTATGATATGCGCTATGTGCTATACAAAATCTCACATGAAATGTGCTGATTGTGATAATTCTAGTGTACACCGTTCAATTTTACAACACAATTTTACACATGTTCCATATATTTGCAGATCATGTTTACTAAATGAACTGCCTTTTTGTGATTATCTGAGTCAAGATTTTTTCAAAGACAACATTTTATCATCAGATTTTACAGATTTCCGGGACCATCATGCATAATCTTCACATGGCAGCAATTCACTACCAACTACTTCAACTACTATACCATCAACTATACCAGATGATCACTTCCAGTGCTTCAAAAAAGGACTTCATTTTTTACACCTAAATATTGGATCTCTTTTGCCTAAAATTTCTGAAATTAAAATAATTGAATTAAAAACTAAAGCAGCTGTTATTGGTATATCTGAAACTTGGCTTGACAAGTCTGTTACAGACTCAGAAATTAATATTGACAATTATACAGTTATAAGATATGATAGAGACAGGCATGGAGGAGGAGTGTGTTGCTATGTGATGAATGATATTGCTTTTACTGCTAGACCTGACTTAAATGTTTTTAATGATGAACTTATTTTTATTGAAATTATTTTACCAAAACCCAAACCAATACTTGTAGGTACCATATATAGACTTCCAAAACAATCAAATTTTATTGAACATTTTGAAAATTTTATATACAGTCTTAGATCAGATTGTGAATGTTACATTCTTGGAGATTTTAACATTTTATTTTACCAAAAGTATAGTTCAATTTTTAAATCCTACACTAGCATTTTGAAAATTTTTGATCTACAACAGATCATTACTGAAGCCACTAGAATTACCTTATCAAGCAAAAGTATAATTGATCATATCATTACCAATTCAAAAGATAGGCTAAGTCAATATGGTGTTATTTCTATTGGTCTAAGGGATCACTTATTGACTTTTTGTACAAGGAAAATCAGCAAACAAAGTTTCTCAAATTATTATTTATCTAAAGTTAGATGTGTAAAAAATTATAGTAAAGATTTGTTTATTGAAAAACTAGGTCAAGCAGACTGGAGTAAATGTTTTTATTGTGATAATGTAAACAGTTCATGGGTAGCTTTTAAAGATATTTTTATGTCAGTGTTTAGTGCCATTGCTCCTTTTAAAGAAATTAGATTAAAACAGAGAACTGAACCTTGGATGTCATCAGAGATTTTAGACCATATCAAAACAAGAGATCATTATTTATACAAGTTTAGAAAATATGGTTGCCATGAAGATTTTTCTTGTTATTGTAAATTTAGAAATGTTGTTCAAAGTGAAGTAAAACATGCTAAGTCTTCTTATTTTACTGATCAAATTGCTGAAAATAGAAATAATCCAAAAGGCATATGGAAACATTAAAACAATTGGGGTATAAATCCAAAACTACAGGGAATGAAAATATTGTTTTAAATATTTATTGTGAAAATTGTCATAATCCTTTAAAAATTGCTAATCATTTTAATGACTATTTTACTACTGTTGCTTCTAAGCTTGTGGATAAGTTACCTTGTGCTAGAAAAATGTTTGACATTGACTCACAAGCTTTGTTAGATTTTTATAATGATAGAAATACTAAGAATATTAAAATGTACTTAAAACATGTGTCTGAGACATTTGTATATAAAGAGGTTAAGAATTTAAACTCATCAAAGAGTACTCGTCTGGTTAGATGAAATTCCTGCTAGATTTTTAAAAGATGCAGCTTCCTTTTTGAAAATACCAATTACTTTTATCATAAATATGTCAATTTCAGAAAATAATGTCCCTGATGACATGAAAGTAGCTAGGGTAAAACCTTTATATAAAAAGAACAGTAATCTATCAGTAGGAAATTATAGACCTGTAAGCATTTTAAGCATTGTATCAAAATTATTCGAAAAATCAGTGTTTTCTCAACAAAGGTGAATTCACTTCTTTTAAATCATATAATGCTTTAAGATGGGTAAGATGGGCTGTATGAGAGGGGGCGTTGTCCTGGTGCCATATAATTGACTCTGGCCGTTCATATAATGTTGGACGCTTCTTCCGTAGAGCATTCATTACATCACGACCAATGACCTGTAGAAATAAAAAATTAAATGCAAGAACAATGCAATATAAATTGAATTTAATTGTTAGTTTCTACTAAATAAATGATAATATTACTTTATGATATTATAATTTTATTACACTTAAGTATGTTATATAAATTATAAGAAATTATACCTTTGAGTAATATGCGGCGTTTACAGTCTGGCCCTGAGGAACTGCATGAACGAGAATAACTCCGCTCCTGTCAATAAACACAATGAACATTGTCTTTCCTAACGATTTAACAGCACGTGCCTTTTTGGGGGGTGGAGTGCCAGGGGTCTTCCAGGCGCTTGATTGCCGCTTGCCTTCTGGTTCAAAATAGTGTAACCATGTTTCGTCACATGTTATCGTCCTATCAAGTAATGAGTCATCAGCAGTCACGCGCTTAAGGAACTCTGTTGAAGCGGCTACACGACGTTCTTTTTCATCCTCCTTAAGTAACCTTGGCACCCATCGTGCACATACACGTGACATGTTAAGTTCATCAGACATAATGCGGTGAATTGTAGTTTTGCTGATATCTACAATTTCGGATATTTCCCTTACTGTCTGTCTGCGGTCAGCATCTATACAGTTCTTTACTATCGCTATCATTTTTTCAGTAATAATTTTTGGCCGTCCCATCACATTAAGTTCCGTTCCTGCAGGCTCCAATGATGTAAATCGTCCATGCCACTTGTACACAAGTGCTCTCGAAACATTCTTGAATCTGTCTGTCTTGTGCATTTTCTTGACAGTTTCCAATGGTGACATTCCTGCGTCCGCACAAAACTGGATTACCGTACGTTGCGCCGCACGTTCATCAAACGTCGTCATTTTTACTTGTTTTTGTTAACAACCACTGGCACGTTTAACGTTGCTGAACAACCGGAAATAACGTCATTAGTTCAGAATTTTAACACATGACGTCAGATTGTTTGTGCAAGACGTACACGAGTGTTTTGGCGAAAAAACTTACGTTATCAGTTTTTAAAAAAGGATTGAAGCAGCTACAGGAATGTCTAAAAAATTGAAATTTTGACGTGCGCCGGGTTACAACACCACGCACCTTTTAAATCAAAATAATTTTTATATCAAGTAAAGAATTAACATTAAAATACCTTTAAATCATATAATGCTTATAATTGTTATTATATTTACTAATTATTTTGTATAGACGCCGGAAATATTCACAGTATACGATTTGTCACGGACTTTTGGGACAACCCTCGTATATCCAAGGACCCAATTGGAAATAAGCCTTCGGGTTTTCATGGGCAATTCGAGGTTATTGCACACTACTCTATACATGCTTCCACTTACGTCGTCACACTATATTAAACTGGTAAATTGATATCTAGTCGTTAATAAAGAAAAAGTTTTTAGATTTTGTTTTTAGTTATTATATGTTATTATTTAATGAGCCGTCTGTGATATTTATGTTTGACAAACTTCCGAAATATTTTATTACAATTGTGTCAATAGTTTTATATAAAAAAAATGCTTAAGTGTTTGTATTATGTATATGTGTGTTTTATTATGTATATGTGTGTTTTAACCTGTCTGTCTGTCTGTCTGTCTGTCTGTCTATCTGTCTATCTATCTATCTATCTATCTATCTATCTATCTATCTATCTATCTATCTATCTATCTATCTATCTATCTATCTATCTATCTATCTATCTATCTATCTATCTATCTATCTATCTATCTATCTATCTATCTATCTATCTATCTATCTATCTATCTATCTATCTATCTATCTATCTATCTATCTATCTATCTATCTATCTATCTATCTATCTATCTATCACGCCTTAAGGCAATTATGTTGAGAAGACGTAAAGATAACGACCTGTGGTGACGCTTTAAGTTTTTTTTTTACTTCGCAAAGACGTTGTGTTTATATTCATCATTCATCGTGCTTTTGGCGCTTAGTCCGTATGTTATGATATGATTCGAATAAACTACAGTATTCGATTTGCACAACTTAAAAAGAGAAATTCTAAAGGATAGGAATTTTTCTATGGTAATATTTATGAACATAGAAAGAAATAACATTATCACCAGAAAAGAATGCTAGGCGAAATATTCTATATTCCTGTTTTCAAGAATAAATGAAATAAGAGGAAAGTATCTCTCATTTTTTTTCTAAAATGACTTACTGATCGTATTTTTTTTGCGACAGCACGTTCTTTAAACAAAACGTTCTAGGTCGTGAACATTTGAAATGCAAACACAATTTCGTCCGAAAATGTCGGGGGAGGCTAAGAATAGTTAACTGTAGAAAAACAATAAAATCTTGTTATTGAATTCGTC